AGGACGCTGCAGGCTGCTGCTTTTCCACTGTGTGCTGAGAGGAGGGTGGGTGACTGCAGCCACACTCAAGGAGGAGTTTGTTAGATTTCACTTGCCCCTCCCTAAAAACGTTTGGGTCTAGAGCAGTGCCTGGCTTCAGAGACAGCACAGAATAATTCTGCACAGATCCCCTCAAAAAAAAAGAACCTAATTTCAGGAATCTGTAGTAGTCCCTAAACATGTGCGTGGTTAAAGCCTTGAAGGATGTTCCTGCTTGCACGTGAGGATGGAGGTAAGGGAAGGGAAGACACAGGAGGAATAGCAGTAGCCTACCGCCTGGCTTCATCAAATAATTTGTGTGGGAAATTTCCGCAGCAGTGAGGCGCTGTCTTCTTCATGAAATTTTCAGTAGCATTGTAATACACAAATTACACCCTTTTTGTTGTTGTAGTTCTTAAAAGCAAACTCAGCAGCTTTGTAGCACATCAGTAAGAATCCCGTATCTTGTAAAGCCCTGTGAGGTACCTGCTGTACTCATTAAATGCTGTTGCTGAACATACTGTCAACTTGTAAAGCTGATTTTCAACCACAGAAATACTGTGGCCTTCTGAGGCGTGGTCGGTTTGAGGGGAAGGAAGAATCCTCTAATGTTACTGCACTTGTGAGGGAGCTAACTGAGAAGTTTCAGTTTTCTGCATGCGGTGTCCCTGAGGGTTCAGCCGGTTTTGTGGTGAGGAGTGGGACCCCCCGGTAGTTCAGCTGCATGACAACAGTGCTCTGTGGCTCTTGTCCTGGCAGAGGTCCTGCCTGTTTTCTCCATAGGAACTCCAAGAAGATGTTTCACCATTATCAGTGCCAGTATTTCTGTGCTTGTGTATATGCTGAAGGGTGGGGAGAGGGAGTTATTTTGCTTTCAGGAATGTTCATCTGCTTCAAAAGGGAAAGAAAAATTGCTAAAAGATCTTTTTTTTTCCTAGAGCACATGCCCTGGTGGTGTATGACAAAACAGGTTTGTTTTGTTCCATAGATTTAAACCAAAATAAACTACCTCTGGCTTTCCAAAAGATTTGTTTAAAGTGTATTTTTATCTGCATTACTAACTGAATTTTTAAATTTAAAGTTTTTAAAAGCTTAAGCCTTCATCACCATAAAGCATTCATACCTGTAAGAGACCGTGGAGGCTCCTGATCCATCATTCACGTTCGTCTCATTTGCTTGCAGGCGTACGACTGCCCAGGGTGTGGTTGTGCACGTGCACGTGGGAAGTTTATGTGTCCCAGCGATGTGATGTTGTTCACTTTCTGGGTGTTTTAACCTGCCTACAGTGAAATAGTAGTTTAGGTCTCTGTGAAGCCTCCAGTTTTACCCCCTTTGAAATTACATGACCACTGAAAGTGTTGGAACCATAGCTGAAGTCTTATGGTACCATATCAGCAAGTTTGGCAAAAGCTGAAGGGAGATGATTATTCATTCCAATTTTTGCCAACATTTCCTCCCTCTGTTTTTTTCAGTCAACAGCCTGAGAGGGGCAAGGAAAACCTGTGGGTACCCATTTCTCTCCAGGTCCCTAAGGGTGTTGGGGTGAACTTTCTATGGGGAGCTGTCCTTACAACTGGAGCCCACCGTGTGCTGATTTTGCTGTGACCCCCCCCGGCCTGACCTTCACACGAGCGCAACGGGTGTGCTGTTCCTGTATTTATATGATTTTGTGTTCTCTTCCTTTAGATTAGAATATGTAATGGTCTCGTTACGGTAATTGCCGCAGGTAAGAGCGATGCTTCCCAAAGGCCCTGCTGCTGCTGGTGTTGTGCTCCATCACTAACAGCTCTCCTCCTTCTCCTTCTCCTCCTTCTCCTCCTCCTCCTGTGCTCAGCACGTGGCCGCGGCGGCTCTGGGGCTCTCTGGGTCTGTCTCTGCCTGTCCCTGTCGCCACAGCCCCATCTCCTGCGCTGCTGGCACACCGAGCTCCATGGGTGCCCACCCAGGCAGCTCCTGCTCCCCTGGGCTGCCGCTGGGTACGGCTGCCACTGGTACCTGCTGGGGGGAAGCCTTTGGGGCATGGTTGGGCCTGTTTGCCTGTGTGTTTGTGGCCGGGACACCATGGGATGGGATCAGGGCAGCAAAATTTCACATTTGCCAAGTTGTAAATTTTAAGCACTCCGCTGGTCCACCTGTGAGTCAGAATTTTTTATTTTCTTTTATCTTTTGTTTACTACACCATTGCGGAGCTCCCCCTTGGTTTTTATAACTTAGAAATTTCACGTTGCCTGTGCACCCTCTGAAGCAAACACAGCAAGAGAGAAAAAAAACACCTCCTCCATATCACTGAAAAACTAAGCCGCTCACAAGCATCTTAACATCAATACAGAGACAATGCTGATTTTCCCAGGCACGTGCCAGCGGGCGCACGCAGGCCGGCTTCCCTCCCTAGTGCAGCCGAGTGAGCGGAGCCTTGTCTCTGAGCAAAGTTGCAGGCTCCCCTTGCAAGACGGCCAAGTAATTAGAGTTCGTGCCAGACAGCTTGCAAGTGGAATTATAATATTTGTATGAAAGCCTTTATCTTTTGTGGTTATTACTTGCTCACTCTGCAGCTGCCGTCTCCCTATCAATCAAGGCAGTTTCGGGGGAACTTCAAGGTTGATTGCATAGCTAAGGACTTGCCAGAAGAAAGTTGTGACTGAAGGAATGTGCCGGCTCCCGAGGCGAGCGGATGCTGTGGGTGCTCCCGGAGCGAGGTGTCCCTTGCCCGCACCCCCGCCTGCTGCAGCCGCCCAGCTTTTCATATGCGCAGGCGATGCATTGTTCAGCGCTTGCATGAATATTGCTTGAGCTTGTCCATTTGGTGAAAACTGTATTATTTTGACCATCTGCCATTCTGCTTAACTGCAGGAATGTAAAGTACGACACCTCCCTCACAGCCCTTCCCTCCCCCACACTTTTCTCCCAGCAAACAGCACCACAGGTTTTGTTTTTAATTCAAAACTGACAGCTCCACATTTTTCACAGAAAATGCCTTCACACGCTAAGTCACATTTTTCACCTTTTTTTTTTTAATGTGATATCTCCCCTTCAGTCAATTGTCTCGAAGGATAAATCTGGTAAGTAAAGGTTGTCTTTGAAATGCAAACGCTGGTTTGCAAACCCTCTCAGGGATTTCAGAGGAGGTACTTTGGGTTAGCTGCAGCGGGACCTCAGTGTTGTTTCCTTCATTGCTTTGAGTCACTAAAATAACTAGAGTTAGCCAAAGCATGAGGACAAAGTTTTAACCCTTGTAGTGAGGAAACAGAATGCGATGCTGCCTGTGCCCAGCAAACTCCGTGGAGTTTCCGAGCATTATTCCTGAGAAGTAACGGGATTGCTGCAAGCTGTTGAAGTGCACAGAGTGGGGCTGCTGCAGTTCCTAGTGGTGGGGTGAGATAGGTCTTAGTGTTTGGCCTGAGGTTTAAAATACCCCGAATCACTCGAGCTGCGTGTTGAAAGTGCAGTTGAGTCAACTTGGGTCTTTGTCCTCAGAAGGTAAATCGAGTCACAGGCCCTTTACTGCCCACAGAGCCCCGTGCCTGAGGCCTTGCCTGCAGTCATCCTGCCCACCATACTGAACCACAAAAATTCCCCAACACCTTTCACAAGGGCAAGGATCGCCCTGGTCGTGAGCATCGTTGTCCCTGCTCACCATGGCCCACTGCGCAGCTCAACCAGCAGCAGCTTCAGCCAAGGCGCCGGCCGCATTTTGGTGCATTTGCCGCATGTTTGAGGGCCACTTGGGCTAATAAAGTTGAAGGGAGTAAGCATCAGTCACATAACAGCAAATAAAGTTGCAGCCTGAAAATAGAGCTTATTGTTGAATCGGAACTAGGTTTGTGCTGCAAAACACAACTATCAGTTTGGAGTTCAGAGGTGGTCACATGGCTGCTGAGACCGGCCCTGGCCTTCAGTATGGGCTCGGCCTTTCTCCCTCCTCCCCACGAGCACCTGGTGCAAGGCTGCGCCTCTGACCCACCCCTAACCAAAACCTTTGTGTTAAGACTTGGAGAATTCTAACATGGTTTAAAAATACTGCATGCTGAGGGAGCTGATGAAATGACATGCACAGGGGTCAGAACCCCAACAGCAAGAGAAGGGCTGGGTTGCAGCATGTGTTTGTATTCCTCCAAGCACCATTCCAGCCACACAGGGGAAGGGCAGGGCTCACACACGCATCTTTGCTCATTCAGTTACTTCTTCATTTAATAGGTGGAACCTCATCTGCTCTCCTTCAGACACCTGTTTAGTCCTGGCCTCTAGCTGTCATCACCTGTGGGGAATAACTGAGGTGTAACAATGTTGTTGAACAACAAAGCATAAACACCACTGCAGCCACCCAGGATCCCCAGCTCACAGATAAAGTTCTTGAGTGGTGGCTGTGAGTGCACCAATAATGATGGGTCTTAGTGTTCTCTTTAAGTAGTGGAACTAATTAGAAAAAATTGAGATTTCTTTTTTTTTTTTTTTTTTTCAAACAGAGGCTAAGACACCTTCCAGGTAGTTTTTCATGAAGGCATTCACTTTATGGAAACTTGTTTCCAACTCTCTGCAGTAGATTAGATGCAGAAGAGCCATTTAGTGACACCAAAAAATAACTTTACAAAACACACACTTGAAGGAAACATTTTTTTGAGTTTCGGCCTGTGGGTTTTGTCGAAGCTTTGAGTGAGCAGGGCTGCTGCCAGCCCGTGGGGGGTTGCTTGCTGCCAAGGAGCTCTCACCTGGGTGCTGCCAGCCGCTCACAGCCTGGCCGCCCCTCGCTTCTGCTGGAAGTTAGCAAAGAGAAGTTCCTCATTTCCCCAGGAAAGCACAGTATGGTGGTTCCTCACCTGCCAGGGCCAAATGTCTGCTATAACTGTCCACCTGAGCAATACCCAAGATTAATTTGGAAGAGGAGGTGGAGAGGGGCTGTGTTTTGCCCAGCAGTTCTGATGCAAAGACAGGCAGGCTGTTTCTTTTCCTGATGTTATTTTTTCTCTGCCTGTTCTGTTTTCCAGGCTGCCTCACCACAAGTGCAAGCGCTGACCTTACTGTCGCCATAGGAATAGAGCTAGACCAGACCTCGCCCACGTTACCACGTGCCTCGAAGAGCAGAGTCTCGGGGAAGCTTCGCCGCTCCGCCAGCGCTCTCAGCAAGTCTTCCAACTGAGGTGCTGCAGGAGCAGAACTCTGGCCACGGGAACCCAAGAGACCCTAAAATAGATAAATTATTTACTGCCTCTCTAGAACTTGCAGTTTTGGGTGAACACGTGTTGAAGGGGATGGGCAAGGGGTTTGCTCAGTAGAACTTCAGCTGTTGTATTGAGACGTGCCCGATGATCAGACACCATCTGCTTTATCATCACGCGTTTCACTCGGTCGTTTCGTCACAAAGAGGCCGAAGGCGGTGGGACTTCTCACTGCTGGCGTGGCACCGGGCTGACAGCAGCATGCGCTTCTCTCCCAGCACCTGGTGCCACAGCAAGAGGACATGAACCAGTACTGAAACCAGTTATTTAATGTAACATTAGAGCATTGCTTTTAGTCGTTCCGGTCAACACTTAATTGTGTACTAGGGAATTTTGTCTAAATAGAGGTTTTCATAGGACTAGCCACATAATGAATGTTCCCCTCCTCTGGAGCACAGGTCAGTGATGGAGTGGGTTTCCAGTATGTGTCAACCTCTGCTCCCCTTCTGCTGTCCGTGGCCATCCAGCACCAGTTTTGTGCATGTAGCTAAGCATTAGCAATCCTCAAAGAGGTCACTGACCTGCAGTTCAGGAGGGTACTGCCAGTTTCATGGAGTGGCAGCACCTGGACCAAAACTGATTGTGGTGTAGCTTGTTCTAGGCCATATATCATTACATACAGCGTGAAATCCTGAGGCTGAAGCTGCTCCAGCTGCCGCTGGGTCATGCAGGTGCAGCAGAGCAGAGGACCCAGCACCTCCCCTCAGTGCCCACCCAACGTTTCCCATAGCAGAGCTGCAATTGCTGGGGCAGCCACAGCCAGTGCAGGCGTGAGGTATTGGTTAGCAAATGCTGCGCCCTCTGGGTTCAGCCACGTACCTTCGCGTCTTTGCATTTATTTTGGACAGAAACCCTCTTTCTCAGCACTGGCTTTGGGATTGCTGTGTGGTTTGCAATAGTGCACATAATGGCTGCATACTGTCCGTTACTCACTAGAAAAATAAAAATAACCAAGTTCCTTTTTTGAAGAGCCAAGTGCTACACATGTGCCGCGGCACCTCCTCACCACCGTTTGAATGATCGAGCAGTACACCTCTTAGGTAACCACTCACCTTGCCACAACATCGGGGCAACACTCTGCAACCTGACACATCTCTAGTTAGAACAAAATAAACGTGAAGGCTTCTGAGGACATGCAGTGTCCTCCAGGCACTTTCTGTAGTAAGCAAATCTTGTATTTTCGCTAGGAAATGTATTTCAGTCTACATGTATCATAGCTTTCTAGGGATGGTAACTTTTTATAGTTAAAGAAACCTGTATTATAAAAACAAAATGTGGGAGACACCCTGCAACCACTGGGCATGAGCAAGGAAGGCCAGGCTGAAGGCAGAAATCCGTCGATGCTCCACCATCGTGACGGGACTTGTGACACACTCCACACTGCCGCCCAGTGACTGCGGCTGGGGCCAGGGCTGGGCACCCCGCTTGGCCTCAGCTGCCCCAGCTCTCCCGTGCGCCAGCCTGAGGAGAGGAGATGACTGTAAAGTGAATAATACTGTGTTAGCTTTCTTTTTTTGATGTTTTGAACGTTGGTGTCTGCAAGTGTTGTGTCAGACCCCTCCAGCCCTCCTAACCGTCACCAGGTCTGGGTGTGTTGTTGCTTTTTGTTCTGGTTTTGTTTGTTTTGCTACTTGGCATTCAAATGCACCCCTCTGAACTTAATGTGATGTGGTTTAAGTGAAGGGAATTTGGGTTCCGGTGAAGCAAAATGCACCATTGAGCCACTATTTTTTTTTTTTGCACTTCTCCTTAGGTGTTAACGTGAACGTCTGTCTGCATGTCGGCATCCAGCCCTGTGGCCTCCCTCTAAATACGCGACAGTATTTTATAAATATTGCCAGTAACACTGAGGTAGCTCCACACTTTATTGTGGGCTCTGTGTCGCGGGTTCTTCGCCCCGAGGGTGCTGTCAGGCGCCCCGGCTGCCCAGGGCAGATGCTGGAGCTGGTGGCACCAAGCAGGAGCCCAGCATGGGCCACCAGCCCTCCTGCCAGGAAGGAGCCTCAGGTGTGAGGGGGTTTGACTGCCATTTTGATTTTCTGCCTCACGTCTTGGTTTTGCTTTCTACTGATTGTGTGTTGGTAAAAGGAAATTAGAAAATAAAATGTGTGTTTTAATTTATTTTATTTTCAGGACTTGATAGGTGAAGCTGTCTTGTTCTTAGCCAGTAAATGGTCTGAAATAATTTCAAAGGCATTCTTCTGAAATAAGAGAAGACTTTTCTCGTTAGAGCAATATGCATCTCTAATTCAGGGAAGAATTAAAACACCGATGAAAATAGTATTTTACTGATGTCAAAAAGCTAAAAATATTAATTTGTAAAAATTCAGCTGTGGTTTTGTACTATGAACTGGATAACAAAGCTGTTCTGTTACCCCTTACAAACCTAATAAACCTTAGCTCACAACAAAATTCTTGGAAGACTAGTAAGAAAGTGCGGGGTGGGCACTGCGTCCGTGGTACCCCAGGGCGAGGGTCAGGCTCGGATGCAGGGGGGACGGGTCTGTAAAAGTGGGCGTCAGTGAAGCGGTCACACGGTGCCACCGGCGCAGGGTTCGCCCCTCCACAGCATGCCCAGGACGGCGCCCGCATGCGTAACCAGCAAGGCCAGCCTCAGGCTCGCCTTCCGCCTGACCTTAATGCCACACCATGATGGAAACAAGGGTACCCCATAAATTCACACCTCGCATTTGCCTTCTTCATTTGGGGGGGGCGCAGAACCTCAGCAATGCTGTTTGCACCCCCGCAGCTCCCAGCCACCTCTGGGGGTGAGGTGGTACCTCCCCGGGACAGCCTCAGCCTCCCCAGGGCACGCTGCCACCGGCTGCGGGTTAGACGGGAAAGCCTCAATGGGTTTGTTGAGCTGAATTCTGCCAAGCTGCTCCTGGTCCAGCGCTCCCGAGTGAGAGCCCACACAACACCGGCATTCGCTGCGGCCACCACTGAAGGGGCTTGCAGCAGTTTGCTAATAATAATTACAGACAATTATAAAACCCCAGAAAATGTTATTTAGGTACACCGCAAGAAATGCAGGAGGATGGGGCTTCCCTTCCCAAGCCGCACATAACGCTGTAGTGCTGAGCCACTTGCGTGAGCGTTACAACCAGTCTGTTTCTAATGGTGATTTTTCTACTCTGTGGAGACATTACTTAAGAAAATGAAAGGGGCTCTGTGCTCTTGGTCGTAATTATGTCAGGGGTGCTTACACGTTAATGCCAGTGGGACTGCGAGGGGATTATTCGCCAGAGGGAAAAGACGCTTGGAAATGTCTGTTCCTTCACTGAAAAGAGCCGACAAAGTTCACTCTTAATTTGCTTTCAGGTGCTTTAGTCAGAAAGGGAGAATTAATCGCGAAGGCTCCAGCTAAAGCCCTGAATCTGACTTCACACACTCACCAGGCATTGGGAACCCAGCTCCTTCCCAGCTTTCCTAAGAGCCCTGTCCCATGCCCAGCACCGACCCCTTGTGTGGTGCTTCATGAGCTGCCAGGAACCAGCTGTTTCCCCCCGAGCAGGGTTCAGGAATTGTGAGAGGTGGGGTGGCTGCACCCTCCCCTCCACATTCCCCACCCTGCAGCCCTGGCTGATGGCTCCATGGCCGGGGGGTGCCCGGCACTGGCCTGCAGTGGCTGCATCGCACTGGAGAAAGCCAGATAATTTCCTGGGCATTAATTGTGCCTTCCAATTTAATTTGCATCATTATTTGAGGTGTGCATCCAGGGGACGAGTGTTCATGCAAACGTGTGTACCCCACATGCCCCCCACCAGCAGATAGGCACCGGGCTGCCGTGGTGCCGGGGCGACCGACCCCCAGGGTCCCCAGCCCCAACCCCTCCACAGGCCGCTCTCCAAACCAGGTTCTTTGCGCCCAGTCCCCCCCCAGGGCCCGTACCCCAAACCAGAGGGGCACATGGAGCGGCCCCCGCCACTGAGCAGGCGTGGGTGGGCACAGGTAGGACATGGGGAGTGCGGACCCCTTGCAGCCAGGCACAGCGTGGGGGAGAGTCACCCCCAGCACCATCAGCCCCACCAGCCACCGGCACTGAGCAGAAAATGGCCACAGACAGGCCCACATTAAAAACTAAAATAAATTTATACATAAGAATGTTTAACATTTTTATATGTATTATCTTACTGCTATATCTATTAGTATGTTCTAGATTATATAATTATACAATCATTATATATTATGTATATCATGTTATATTTATTATATGCTGTAGTATATCTAATAATATATATAATATTTTATGTATATCTACACATATATATTAGATATAGTATAGGTATTAAATATACCTGGATATAATCTGTATTTAGTATATTATAATAAGCATGATATACATAATCTATGATCTATATAATCTATTATTATATAATGTATATCAAGTCATATACATTAAATAATATACAGTATATGATACTATAGATGCACTATATATTGTATATTATCAATGCATTAATATTTGCTAATGATATTAATATTCATTATATATTTGTTATTATTTATCAAAATATGGATTGTAGGTTACATATATACAGCATATGTGTATATATACACATATATAGTATATATTCTATATATACTATTATAATATATAATATTATTATATTATAATGTATAGTTATTATAACTATATATTATAATATAACCAGATACATGTGCACATTGCTATATAAACTATAACATTACTATATAAACTATAATATAGTATGTATAATGTATATGTAGTATATTTAATTTTAAAATTTATATAAGAAAATTATACAAATAATCTCAGCAATGCATGAATAATATATAATAGATTATATAATGAATCCACAAGACATACTATATATTGCGTAATGCATATATATACATCCTATTCAATGCACTATGTTCAATGCAGTATATAACAGTGTAGATTAGAGATTACGCATAACATGCATATAAAATATATATATGCTATGTATGCATACATATGTGGACCTATGCATATACCTATACAGGTATGTATACATGTACATACACAACAGTGCCTTATATAGTGCAGACTCTGTAATATACAAATTATGGCTGCAAAGCTAATAAAAAATTACCTAAGACAATATTATCTCAGTACATGAATATGGATAATGTATCGATGATGATATATAATGCCTATGTATTATGTACTATATATAATGTATTACAATATGCATTATATAATACACAGTATGGAATTTCTAATATACATATGTCATAATTTCTACTGTAATATCATAGTATATATTATATATGTTCTCTATTATATATCTTGTGTAATAATATGTATATAATGCTATTACACTGATATATGTCTAATATATTACACTGTACTACATATTATAAAGTACACTTATATAGATAATCTATATAAAATACACTGATGTAAAAGGAATATAATTTTTATATTTAGTTTATGTAGAATTATAATCTATTATGCATAATAAATTCTAGATGTCGTGTGCAAGTGTGTGCGCACAGGTAACTAAACCTAAACGTCCTGGGTCAGCACCCCATGGCAGCTGTATGGTGTTCTCCTCTGTTTTTATCTTTGAAGTTATTGCAGTACATGTGATTTACATATGAAAAACTGTAAAATTAGCAAACAAAATGATAACCTGGTTCCTTATTCTGAGAAGTAACAGCCCCCTCTCTGAGATGAAGCTGACCAGTGTCTCTTCTCCCCCCAGCTGCTGCCACAGCTGGAACAGGCATCCAAGCCCGGTCAGGAGCCTGGGCTGAGCCCTCTCCAGAGCACAGAGCAGCTCAGGCAGAGCCTTTGCTCTGCTTTAAAACACCTTCTATAAATCAACTTCCCCATCACATGAGATAAGGTTTAAAAAATTAAGTTTGTCTAAAACGACCGCAGTCCTCAGGCACGTAGAGCACAGGAGCCAAGGAAGGGAACCAGCTGAGCTTTATGCTTCCTCCCCTTCAAAGCTGCAAGGGGGCTTTATTATCATCTTAAAATAGTGATTCTTTTCCAAAAGTAACAGGTGATTAAACTGGAGCTGGCAGAGAACTGTTAAAAATAATGTCTAGGTTACCGTAACAGTAGGACGTATTCTGAAGAGTGCCAGCTTCCCTCCGCTGGTGCAGGGCCACCTCTCCGCAGCCGTGCCACCACCCCGCCGCGGCCGCAGCGCCCATCTCTGCCCCTTTTCAGTCTCTCTCTGCCTGTACTGATGACAATGGCAAAATCAGAACCTGGGGTCAGAATATTACCGGGATGTTTGTGCCTTTGCTTAGACACTACATATGTTTTCAGCCATGCACTGAGATTAAAGATGACTTTTTTTTGCCCTGACGCCTTTATCTGTAGGACAGCCCTGTGCAATGGAAGGCCACACTTGGCGTGTCCATCTCGCTGATTAACATATCCAATGTTTCCATGAGGCAGACCTTTGTTATGCATATTATAAATGAAATTTAATTAAAACTATTTAAAGCCGTAATGAGGCTTTTTATTTGCATGGCAGGATTTGAGATGTTCGAACACCACATGCAAAATGCAGGCAGCCCAGGCACCCTGGGCCTTCACCAAGGGGAGGTGACTGGGTGCCCCCAAGGAACTTGCTCTACCATGCAGCTGCAGCAGCCCTGCCAGCACCCAGCACCCTTGCAGGCAGGCAATGGGACAGGAGGTGTGTCGGCACCAGCACCCCACAGCATCCCACAAGCACTTCACGGCACCCCTCAGCACCCCACTTCACCCTGCAGCACCCCACATCACCCCACTGGGGTGGATGGGCAGAAATGCTTTGGGTTGTTTTCCCACCTGCCAGCTCATTAAAAAGCAACACAGGTTTTTAAACAGGTTGGTGTACAGAAAAGGTCTGAAATCCCAAGCAAAACCCCATCCCCAGCCCACTTCTGTGCTTGCCCCGGCCCCTGGGACATCTCCCAGGAGTCAGACCAGAAGAGGTTTGGCGAGGTCAGGCTGCTGCACGGCCGCACACAGAGCCAGTCCCCAGAAACTCCGGCTGTGCCCAGTGGCATCTCTCCGGGAGTGCTCCAAGTGAGACAGCCAATGGATGCACCTAGTAACCATGTTGCTGATATCAAAAAATTGCTAAAAAATGACATTCGAGAAGCAGCACCAGTGAGACCTCGCTGAGACCATTCCTCTGCTAGCAGCAGCGCTGGCGGTGACAGCGCCAACCGGGAAAGCTCTTCCCAGCCTCTCACTAAGCTCTGCACCCGCAGTTCGGTGATGGTGTGCGAGCTGCATTTTTCAGGACCCTGAAGGTTCCTGTCATTAATCTCCCTGATTCCTTTCAGTTTGCAAACAACCCGTTTCAGACCATGTGTTCAGCTCTTTGTGTGCTCAGAGAGGAGAAAGGCTCCAGAGGTTTGCAAACCGGGCAAACATCTTGGGCCATGTGCACAGAGAGCTAGCAGCCTCTGTA